CTCCACATCCCCCTCTGGGGGCTCCTCAGCCAATCAGCAACCGGGGCTCAGAGCCCCACCAATGGGAAGAGCGGCTGTCGCCGAGCTGGCAGGGCGGACAACCAATGGCTGACGAAGAGAGCCCGCCCCCGGCCCACCGCCCGCCACAGGGCTGGGTAAGGCCTCTGCCTCGGCGTGGGAGGGCTCGGGGTGGCGCGGGGCGCTGGGCCTCTCCTGTTTCGGAAGCAGCGAAGGGGTCGGTGTTTGAGCTTTAACTGAGGAAGTGGTGAGGAGCTCGGTCTGTGAAAGAAAGGCTCGAAGGAAGGAGAGTGAAAGAAAGGCTCGAAGGAAGGAGAGTGAGGAGGGTCTGGCAGGATGACACGAGTGCTACTGCCTGCCTGCCCTTTCCTGCCTTGGTCACTGTGTGCTGGCACCTCTCAGAAGCCAAATCCGGGCTTTATTTCAAGCTGGTGTAAAACTTTAGGAGTGTCTGGTCATTCTGCCTGCCCTGTGGGAAGATGGCCCATGGATTTATTTATTTATTTATTTATTTATTTATTTATTTATTTATTTATTTGGGAAGAAAGGGGCCTGGCTTCTTGTGCTGTGCCGCTGGTTCCTTCCATGTCCTTGCCTGACCTCCAGCAGCAGACACAGCCCTGCCTGCCTCTCTCCTGCTTTCCAGATGTGCACATCCTTCTTTGGTGTGGAGAAAGGCTCAGGTGGTGAAGGTGGAGGCTGCAAAGGCAGGAGGGGATGTGGAAAGAACTCCTCTTCCAAAGCTCACTCTTGGAAGGTGTGTGTCTGTGTGTGCGTGGTAGAGAGGAGAGGTGCTTTCCAAGCCCTTTGTGGGTTTTTCTGCAGTGCAGCTGGGGGCTGTTTCCTGCCTGGTAGGGTTCCCACCAGATAGAGATGGCCGAGTGCTGGCCCTGTCCCATGGTGGTCCACACACACAGCTCCTTACTGGCCAGCTGGGATCTTCTCCAGCCCCACTGCCTTGCTTTGGACCTTCCCACATATCTCTACCATGGCTGCAGGCCTTAAAAAATAATTATAAAAGTCTAGTAAAATTCATTGCTTCCATTCCCATCTAATTTGAAGAAGGTGGAGCATGGGCTTGGATGGGTCCTGCCTTTGCTGCACATCCTGTGTGCTTTGCAGGGGAATGGTGGGTTTGGGGACTGGTGGGGGGACAGCTTTTGTGCTGAGGAGGAGGTGGCTGTGCCCCTGCTAGTGCCCTCTGAGCATGGCTTTCTGCCAGCCAGAGCGAGGGAGTCCTGTCAACTTTCGTGGCACAGAGGCAGGAGGTGCTTAGCAAAAGTGCATCCTTAAGGGTGCAAAGCCAGCTCCATTCCCTCAAGGATTTCCCTCCTTTCTGGCCCCTCTGAATGTTGCTAGCTCTTCTTTGCAGCTGACTATCAAGGCTCCTGACCTTGCCTATCCTGAGGCACTCCCTCCCTCCCTCCCCCC